CGAGATCAGCCTAGCCAACATGGTGAAACCTTGTCTCGACTAAAATACAGAAATTAGGTCGGTGTGGTGGCGGGCGCCTGTAATCTTACTCCCAGCTACTCAGGAGGTTGAGGCAGGAGAATCCCTTGAACCCGGGAGGCGCAGGTTGCAGTGAGCTGAGATCGCGCCACTGCATTTCAACCTGGGCGACAGAGCGAGACTCCGTCTCAAAATAAAATAAAATAAATTAATTAATTAAAATAAAATATAAAATAAATCTTCTCAAGCTTTAGTGGAATCTTATGAGCTCACATCATTGTTTTGTAACTATGATATGTATTCAAAATTTTCTCCTTTGTCCCCACAATTCATTAGATGTATTAACCATTTTAAAATAGTTTATGAAATTTATTGTATTCAGTTTACACTGGGGACTGCGTGCTTTCTAGTCTGTATCATATATTGAAAACATTTTCTAGTACCTGATACATGATTTTAGGTTGTTTCAACGTGTACTTGATAAATATATCAAGGAACTATTTTATGTATGTATGTATTTATTTTGACATGGAGTTTTGCTCTTGTTGCCCAGGCTGGAGTGCAATGGTATGAACTCTGCTCACCGCAACCTCTGCTTCCCGGGTTCAAGCGGTTCTCCTCCCTCAGCCTCCCGAGTAGCTGGGATTATAGGCATGCACCACCACACCCGGCTAATTTTGTATCTTTAGTAGAGATGGGGTTTCTCCATGTTGGTCAGGCTGGTCTTGAACTCCTGACCTCAGGTGATCCGCCTGCCTCAGCCTCTTAAAGTGTCGAAATTTTAGGCATGAGCCACTTCACCCAGCCCCAGGAAGGTTTTTAATTTAGGGTCTTTAATTGCCAATGTGGGTTCGCTCAGGGTCAGGCAGCGACCCCTTAGATCAGCCAGATGTGTTTCTGAGCGAACATACACTTGTTCTTCCCACCTGTTGGGCAAGCAGACTGGTCTGGGTGAGGGACCCTGGGCTGTCCCCCTCAGCTGTTCCTGCTCATCTCCCCCGTCAAGATGAAGACCATTCCAAAGTCAAACAGGACCCTGGTACACATGAGACCCCAGAGAGGACATACTAGTATCACTCTTATTCATTCACTCACTCAGTAGCTATTAAGCGTATACTATATGACTGGGGACAAAAATAGAGGAACTGTCTGTGCCAGGGATCAAAATGGTAAACCAGCAGACTATCCTTCCCTGCTTTCTCCAGATTATTTTTCATTTTTATTTTTTTGAGACGGAGTCTCACTCTGTCACCCAGGCTGGAATGCAATGGCACGATCTCAGCTCACTGCACCCTCCCCTGCCAAGGTTCAAGTGATTCTCCTACCTCAGCCTTCCGAGTAGCTGGTTCTACAGGCCCACACCAGCACACCCATCTTATTTTTGTATTTTTAGTACAGATGGAGTTCTGCCATGTTGGCCAGGCTGGTTTCCAACTCCTGACCTCAAGTGATCTGCCCGCCTGGGTCTCCCAAAGTGTTGAAATTACAGGCGTGAGCCACCACACCTAG